GGAGCTTCCACGTGGTCGAATAGCGGTATCGTCGTGAGATGGCACGCTCACTCAGGCAAAACAAGCGCCCATGTGATCGATTAGTGGTACATCATCCCCGAAACAATATCGGCTTAATGCTCCCCGTCATTAAATTAATAATTTTTTGTAAAGCATCTAGACCAATGACTTCAGTCACGGGCTTTCCGCTAGTTTTATTATTTCGATGGGAAGCAATCGAACGTTACAACTGAATTTGTATGGCAGATACTCTGCTAACAGAGATGAAAAATCACGGAGAAACATTTTACGTTGACTAGTAATTCTAAGAGAAAATAGATTTTGACAAGTAATCTGCAACGTCGCAAACGGAGATACGCGGTCTCTCAATTGGGTCATCGGAACGTAGAAAACTGAAGGCATTCCGGCTCTTTTCGCACCGATTTTATTCGTCCGTAACAAGAAGACTATGGGGGAATTTTTTTTTTTTTTTTTTTTTTTTTTTTTTTAACCAATTTTTTGAACGCAATATGGACATCCGTCGAGGTCGTAGAGTTCCATCAAGGCGCCGCTGTCGGCGCGTCCTACCTAGTCTTCTTACGGTTCTGTTACGGACGAATAAAATCGGTGCGAAAAGAGCCGAAATGCCTTCAGTTTTCTACGTTCCGATGACCAAAGACAAGAAGACAAGAAACTCAAAGCTCTACGTGAGTCAAATCGCGCACTACAACGGTTTCAGCAAGCTTCCCAATCAAGCAATGTTCATTACCCACCATGTGTTGTTCAAACTTGTATAAACAACTTGCTATAGCTGAGCCAAAGTGTGAAGATTGAGGTTGCCAGATTTTTATATCGCAGAGACTTTCAGGATAATGTTTAGCGCGCGATGTGATTCACGTAGAGCATTGAGTTTTCATGAGCGGCTGGTTTGAATTTACGCATCAAGAATCATTAAATATCTTTGGAAGGAGTTGATTTCGATAATTTTCGTTGTGCACGTCGTATTCTACCTGCAATTTTAGTTAAGAAACATGTATCAGAATGCTGAAATTAGTACCTTGTCTGGTGGTCCATTATTGAGGAATGATGAACGTACATCGTTACCATGAAACGCATATCGACGGTGAAACTACAAAACCACGTATTTCGTTTTCGGTGTTTAAAAATCTACGCTCACATTTTATTTTTTTGAAGTAGACCAAATCAATATCATTCCTTGAAATTTTCACAGAATTTTCTCCGCACGAAGAGGAATAATCACAGAAATTTTCAAGACTGGACGTTAAGTAGTTTTTCATTTAAAAAATAAAGTATGACAGGAAGTCTGCGACGTCGCAAACCGAGATACGTGGTTTGGTAGTTTCACCGTCGATATGGACTCCCGACTGTTGCTAAATGTCTCTCGACGAAGTATCATTTTTACGGAGAGTTTTGAATGCTCTTCTTCGAAAGTTTGAGATGATTTGGTTCAAATTGCACACAAACTTCTCTGAAAAAGTGAAAGAAAATTATTGGAAATTTTCCAAAAACTCTGTTTTTTATCAAATGCAATGCGGTCAAAACTGAACTTTCATGCGGCGTTTTTCCTTGGAGAGGCAGAATAGTTTTCGTCCCTGAACTGAAAATTCTCCGTAGCACGGAATTAAAATGAGCATACGTACATACAGCATAACAGTTGGAGCTGCTCACAGCGAATCGAGTCAATGAGAGAGGTCGGACTTGATTTTCTTTACTAAAATAGCAAAATTAGTTGTTAATTTTGCGAAATTTTAAAGTTTGAGGGGTGCTATCTAAAGTAATTTTTACGAGAAAACCACTGAAACCACTTTTAAGACCTCCACGTATTTGAATAATGGAGTTACGAGATTTTAAAGTTCCCCAATTTCGTCCGACTTCTCATATTGACTCAGAACTATGTGCATCATGACGTGAGCCCTGTTATGCATGTATCCTTATGGGTCTCAGGGCTCATGTCTTAATGCACATAGTTCCATTTGGCAGAGATACGTTCAATAATACGCAGATCATGCGCTCCACAGGACTCAAGGAACTTTTCAGACGGAAAATTTGATTACTATTTCACGTGATACGTAAAATTTTTATTTGAACACCTTTAAGAACATGTGCATGTTTGGAGACTTGAACGCTAGAGTAGAAAAATACTAAAAATAGACAAATGCATAAAAACATGGTCACAGGTAAAAACGCACGATGATATTATTCTTTTTCGTTGAATCTTTCTTCTCTTCAACTACCTCCCGATAAACTGCAAACTCCCCCCCTCCCCTCACCGATATACTCCATTCAACATATCGACGGTGAAACTACCAAACCACGTACCTCGGTTTGCGACGTCGCAGACTTCCTGTCATACTTTATTTTTTAAATGAAAAACTACTTAACGTCTAGTCTTGAAAATTTATGTGATTTTTCCTCTTTGTGCGGAGAAAATTCTGTGAAAATTTCAAGGAATGATATTGATTTGGTCGACTTCAAAAAAATAAAATGCGAGCGTAGATTTTTAAACATCGCAAACGAGATACGTGGTTTGGTAGTTTCACCGTCGATATGCCGTGCCGAGTAGCACATCAGCGCAACGAGAATATTTAATTTATTTTGCAATTAAGTATTATTTGATTATTCACATCTCGTACCCTCCAGCGGACTCGTGGAGCTTTTCGGACCTGAAAATCGGACTCAGCGGATCATTTCCAAGCGGACTGGCTTAGTTTCAGCCCGATCGGAGATCTTCCGATTTTGACCCTAAAAAGTTAGTCCATGTGCCCATGTGTCCCCTGTCGATTTTTCTCAATTTTGGTCGGAAAAACTAATTTTAAGATAAGTGTCGAGTCGTACGTAGTTTGAAACGATTTGCGCAGGGCCCCGAGGCTCGGCGAAGCTCTCTGGGCCGAGGAACAAACACTGAAAAACGAGTGTTTTTGACCCTTAGGTGAAAGTTCATTGAATTCGCGTTTTTCGCCGATCGCTCGGTCCAGCGGACACGTGGAGCTTTTTGGACCTAAAATTCGAACTCAGCGGATCATTTTCAAGAGGTCTAAGTCAAAGAAAAAAAGTTTAGAAAACACACATTATATTTTCCTTTAATACGTCTTTTTTCCGTCAATTTAAGTGAGAATAATCTATGCAGAGTGTGCAAACATTTCAAAATCACGGGTTGAAAAACGCTGACTCCAAGAGTTTAAACTTAAGAGTCTAGCAGAGAGCGGGGCACCGTACTACTAGCACAAAACGCGCACTGGCGAGGCGCCTACAAGCCTAAAGGGATACTTCACGCATTGCGCAATGCTTGAAGTATCCCTTTAGGTTTGTAGGCGCCAATGCGCGTTTCGCGCTGTCCGGCTGCCCGCCGCGCCGCTCCGCATCGCGCAGCATGCCGAGTTGTTTTTGACCCTTTGGTGAGAGTTCATTGAACGCGCGTTTTTCGCCGATCGCTCGGTCCAGCGGACTCGTGGAGCTTTTTGGACCTGAAAATCGGACTTAGCGGATCATTTACAAAAGGACTAGCTTGGTTTCAGCCCGATCGGAGAACTTTCGATTTTGACCCTAAAAAGTTAGTCCATGTAAACTCCTGTCGATTTTTCTAAATTTTGGACGGGGAAAAAATTTTCGAGATTAATGTTGAATCTTACGTATTTCGAGGCAAGGAATCGATTGCGCGTGGTCTCGAGGCACTTTTCAAGCCGAGAAACGAGTGTTTTTGACCATTTTTAATGATCTTTGATCCGCGACTATATTACGCTTGCGTGGTCCAGCGGAATCGTGACAATATTTAAACCTAAAAATCGAACTCAGCGAGCTTTGTTTCAGCTCGATCGGAGAACTTTCGATTTAGATCCTAAATCTTGTTTGAGGACATGTCTAGACTTTGTCCGACCTTGTGAAGTCTTATCTTTTGCCTGCCTCCCTCTTATTATTATAAAAGTAAATTAGGATTTTATTAGCTGGTCAGATTTAGATAGGAAATCTAGAGATAAGCATTTAACCAGCTCATCAATTCATTCTTGTAGACCCGATGTAGATGATAGTAAAAACAAAGTTTAAGAAGAATTTTCTTATAATGCAGCCTGATCAGGATAAATTCAGAGCATTCTCATTCTTCACTCTACTCACCCTTTTACTTTTCCTTCTTTGCCTTTCCATTTTATGTTATTGTCTGATTTTTATTTTTTTTTTACTAGTCGATCAGCCTACTCACTATTTGCAGGATCGCATTGCCGACAGAGATCGGTAAGTAGATCTATCGACAGACGTAACTGCTATGAAGACGAAAGTCTATCGAAAAAATCTGAGCGTTTCAAAATTTCAGAAATTTTGAAGTCTGAAAATTAAGAGTACAATGGACACAAATACATACGACTATCAATTTGCTCTATCTTTTTTAAATTTGGAAACTTAATCTGTGTGTATTCTGCAGCAAAATGTTCGTATGCTTTGAAAGACATTGATTGAAGGGCTTGGAGGACAAGGTGCATAAAATGCAGCTTTTGCTATTTAAAGAAATACGGGTTTAAAGTTTCAAAATTACATTGGAGCATTACGGTAGACAGAGATATCAAACTCATTTTCTGATGCTTAAAAATTAAAATTTGGAAGCAAATTTTCCACAAGATGTACTTTAAGAATAGTTTTAAGTAGTTGAAATCATTGTGACCTCATGCACAGATTTTTGGGTGAGGACTTTATAGAGATTAAGAGATTTTGATACCTTGATTGGCTCATGAATTATTCAAGTTTTAAAAAAAGTTTCTTTGCTTGTGAACTTCCCAAAATTCCTCTTTATCTTTGAAGCAGGATAATTCAATATCGATCGATAATTTTTCAGCAATTGTATGAAGTAATACAAGTAAAAAGTTTTCTGTCACCGCAGACTCCAAAATTTTAAAATTATTGAGCCTCCTTCAATTTAGAAGAGGTTTTAAAACAAGTGTAGGTTTTCAAAACTGTAATATTTTTTCTCCGGACTTGAGGGTTCAGGAATCAATTGAACTTAATCAGCAGAATAGAAAATAACAATCAACTTTTATAATTTAAGGACTTCTTACAAAATGAAAAAGGACTGAAACAAAAGTTAAATTACAAATGAAACACTCATCCAGATGGAGATAATAAATAACTATTTACAATTCACTTACAAACGAACAGGAATATTTTCTTGTTGAGATTTCAAGATTATCATCTCGAAATACATTTACATTATAAATAAGTAAAAAATAACTAGCTTAAATAATTAAGTATTGTACATGATTGCATCATAAATAAATAATATGTACACGCTGCAAAAAGAAATATTCAGAACAAAGTAAGAACATCTGCTTTGGCCCCAAAGCTCCAACATGAGTTGCTCATAATTGTTGAAACTGACAAAAAAACGGATAAAAGTTTTCTGCCTATGAATAGATAGATGAAAGAGAGAGAGGGGAAAAAATTAAATCGTTGAAAGCTTAAATAGATAAACTGCTGATCTATCTACCAACAAATGAAAACAGGAGAATATTGGATGAAAATTAAATTTTGATTTTAAAACATCAACATTTTTGGTATATTTTCCACTCAACAAAAAAAAAAAACATGCAACTTTGTACAAATATGACTCAATAACTCAAGCTGAACAACATGTATTTTACATGCACTGCATTGCTTCTGAAAGTGTGCTTACATTCCATTTTTCATCAGAGATCCTATCAAATATTCTCAATGAAAATTTTTATACAACAACTTAAGAGAATAAACAATTGCAGAGAATCAGGGTGCTGTATAAAAGGCGGTTATACTAAAAATATGGATATTTTCAGTAGGGGAGAAATGCAATGTTACAAATTAAGCATATGTACTTCAACTTGAATTATGGACAGTGATTCTAAAATAAATAAAATTTGACACGACAGAAATATAAAATGTCATAGCAGAAAAGAGCTTTTCAAAGTTACTTTTTTTCCAATTCAGATTGTACTACAAATATTGATTGGTGTTGGCATCATTCTCTTTCGACTTCAGAATCATGGAGGAAAGTATTGGTCAGAGGATAAGTACTGTAAGCTGTGTTTACATGGTGAGTGCTTTGAATACTAATTATACCCCTGACTGGAGGTTAAGTCTTTCCAGTTTGAGAACGTTCCCTCTCACGAAAAAATTTCATAGGGAAAATTAAGTTTAAACTTTGAAATTTTTGAAAAAGGGCATTTTCGCACCTAAACTGGATTCTGAACTGAATACTTGGAAAAGCTCCATCAGTAATGAACAATAGAAATATAATCATAAAATAGAGTATCAGATATCACATTAAACGGGGATTTTTTCAAAATCAAAAGCCCAAAATCTGCACTTATAAAAGCTAATTTTGTCACACATTCAGCTTCTTTATTTTAACAAAGTTATTTCATAACTTTTAGTGATACTGTTCATGCTATTGTGTTTCTATTGAGCCACTAAGAGTTCAACAGAGCCAAATTAATCATATCATCTCGTCACATCAAATTTTATACCTCATATCATACCTTCTCTCTTCCATTCTGCAAATTCACAGTTTGAGGTAATACACATATAACTAGTATGTAGTTGTAAATTAAGTTCTTTCTAGCATATATCAAAGAGAGGAAATTTTTGGTTTTTAAAGAAGTATTATCCCTTACTTTATACTATCTATTTTACAAGAATGCCTGATTTGTAGTTTGTACCAAAGATTTCTGGCTCATTACACAGATAATCAAGCAACTAAATGATTTCTCATCTAGGTTGAACTAAAAGCAGGGTAAAAATAAGAGTGAACGAGACTTTCATAATGGTCCTAAAAAAATAGTAAACAGGGGCAAACTGCTCGAGTAACAATGTTCAAGGTGAGAATTCTCATATTTTTATCAGACTATAACTAAAAATTTTCTAAATATCGAAAGCTAAAATCTAAAAATGTGTACCTCCAATTAAAAATTTCCGCTCGTACATTTTATTTTTTTAAAAGGAACTAATCAACAGGTTTTCTTAACATTTTGGGTGCATTTTCATCACTCATTTAATAATATTCACAGGCAATTACAAAGAGGTACTCTGGTTCGTTTCCTTTAAAAAAAATACGACATGATCTGAGATTTTGCAAAATCGAAAAGTGATACACACTTTTTTACTTCAGTCATCCACATGCTAAACACGCATATTTTGAGCATTGATTTAATTTCTCTAGATGTCTTAAAGATTCAAAAGATTTTAAGTATCATTGCTTAAACCCTTTGAAACAAAAAAAAGACAAGAAAAATACAAAAAAATAAATTAAAAACAAACAAGACAAAAATTTGGAGGTGTTTGAGTGCATTTTTGGGATTATTCCTCACGAAAAAACGCAAACAAATGCAGACAGGTCTTCCAACTGCAAATGCTTAAATACCACTAGGAGTGTAAATGGGTTACATTTTGCAATAAGGAACTACAATCTCTGGCTCTCCCATTAAAGCACACATCTGCACAACGAAACCAATGGCATGTATGTTGTTTCTAAAATGGACCAGAAATAGTGGTTCTTTATTGCACAATGTAATCCAAATATATTAAAATGTCAAGTTATCATGCAAATTTGCCTTCATTACATTTAATTAAACATCGATTCTTCAGTAAAAGAGTGCAAGGCAAGTCTACCTTATGGGGTAAACATGTTTTAACCCTATAATCAGAAGGTCCTGGGGGCCAATTCTTAGTCAGGCAACCTAAACATGGGCCTCCTCAGACTAGGTGTAAAGTGGGGGATTGAGGCTTAACCTTGCACAGCATAGTGTTACTTATTCGTTACAACACGTTTTTTGGTTTTTCAAAAATTGAATCATGTACTTTTCTGTGGCATGTGTTTGCAAGTTTTTATCAATTTTTTCCTTTTGAAAAAATTATTATCAAAATTTTGAGCAGAAAATTTGGGACTCTATGCTCCTGCAAAAGCTATAGCATAGATTTGTGTCCCCTAGAATCGGAACCCAAAATTAATTCATGCCATAGAGGGTTATACCCAGGATTAGCCGCTGGGAGCTACTTAAAATTGATGGGAAAAAAAGATAAAAGAAAATTATCTACAAGTTAGAACAAACTTTGTAAAATTAATGCCTCCAGCTTTGATCTGAGAGATAAAAAAAACTCAATTCCCCCTTAGAAGTCTATGTACATCCCTGATTTGAACTACATTTTGCAATTAGAAACTACAATTTCTATCTCAGTTTGGAAACAACATATGTACCATTAGTTTCACTGTGCACATGAGTGTTCTTACAGATGAGCCAGGAATTATAGTTTTGAATTACAAAATGTAATCCATTTAACATTACCTTAGTGAAATAACTGAAAAGTCTCACAGCAAAACAACAAAAAAAGTTCTAAAAGAATTTCCTAACTATTTTCTTGAATCCGACAGTTTTCTTCCTGTCTTTAATCGGAGTGGAATTGCTGGATTGACTGTCCGATACATTTGAATGAGAGGGCGTGAGTTCCGACTCCGAGGACTGGGCCCCATTAGTAGGAGCAGGATCTGATATGCTAATCTGACTAGTTCTTTGGTTCCTACTAGAGAGAGCAGTCTTGATAAAGATGGGCGACACTAGTTGTCGGTGTCCAACAGGAGTAATATCTTGCTCCGCTGCAGATAGTGCAGACGGAGGGTACTCGTTCTGCCATGGAGTCTGGTCGTGCCACCGAACACCGTAATCTGCAGGCGCTGATTTATTCCCGAATATCTGGTCAGGGCCTGACTTGACAGCAGTCGGAGGAGTAGAGACTGCAGAGGTAAGAATGGAACTACTGCTGGCTGATTTCGCCAGATCTCTCTTTTTTCTTCTCCTCTTTTTCACTTCGGTTTTCATCACTTGATTTTGACTAGTTTCACTAATTAGTAAGTCTTGGTGAGCAGTTCCTGAAAGCATATTAAAAATATAAGTTGTCATACCGTAACATAATTTGAGGGGTTAGGAGGACAAGGAACATAAGTGCAGTTTTTGAAAAAAATGAGATTTTCGAGTAAAACTAGTCATGATGCATATTCTGTGAAAAATTCGCTCCCAAATTCCAATTTTTAAGCACCAAAAAGTCAGCTTTAACTTTCTTTCTACCTTGATGGTCCATGTAATTTCAAAACTTCAAACGCATGTTTCTCGAAATAGCAAATACTGCACTTAAGCGCCTTATCCTCCAAGCCCCTCCATTTAAAATGGATCAATTCATAATTTGAAGGTGTCAGAAATTTTTTGAATTTCATGTTTGAGAGGAAACTACTGAGTGAACTGAGCATGAAAATATCCTTGGTTTCTAGAATGAACAATTATCAGAGGAGATATGACCAGACTACTTTATCTGCTACAATACTTGTGTTTAAATGGGAGATTTTGCCAGATGATATTACATGTCAGCAGATTTTCTTACTTTTGAATTTATTTTAAGAGTGCAAAAGAAAGAACACTACCAAAGTACGCAATTTCTACAATGAGTCATCAATATGATAATTTGAGGGATTTCCTGAACACTGTAAGCTGTTGAAGAAAAAATTCATTGGTTAAGAAACATACCTGCTATACGCAAGGCTTCTTCACTGGGCCTCCTCTTTCTCACATGAGAAGAGGTGGCAATACTGTCAAATGATTTCCGCCGAACATGGTAAGACTGGTTGCGACGTAAACCAACACTAATTTTTCGTTTTGAAACTTCCACCTCAGGAATCCATCGACAAAGGAGGAGGAATCCTATGAATATAGCTACTTCTACAAAAATAAGGACACTATGCTGTCCGATCATAGAGGCCTGAAAACAGAAAACAAAACATCTGCCCGTTAGTCATGTACTTGTAACAGCACTTTAGCAAACAAGGGAGGGATACTAAGATTTTACTTATAGGGCAAGGCAAAATTTAGTAAAAGGTTAATTTAAATTAAATGGTTAGTTATGGGTCTAACTTGCAAAAACAGCGAAACTTCAGGTAGTAAAAAGGAGCTTCAGTTTTTAAAAAAGATCAATTTTTGCGTGTTGTATTATTAAGAAAAGAGGATTGTTGCCACCAAGTTAACACTATGAATTTAAAGTTAGAAGCTTAAGAAGCACATGATTTTGAGGTGAAGAGCAGTTGTCCACCCTACCTTAAAAAATAGGGCTCGTTTAAAAATCGCTTTGCTTCTTTTTTTTTTCGGGACTGCTCTCTACGCTTCAAAATCTTGATAGTTCAAAATTACTTTATTTGAAAAAAAAATGTGGTCCCTTTAGTCTTCAATTACTGAGCACTTGTCAGGATTTTTTTATGCAACAGGCTAGTTTGCTTTCCGAGGGCAAAGATATTTATAGACAGAGGAATTTAAGGCAATAGATAAAATCAAGGGGGTTCTTTGAGGATTGAAACTGCACCTACCTTGTAGGTCCAAGAATTTCTTTCTTCTAGTAGTGTTTTGACTGATTCAGTAAGTGCGTCAACTCTGTTTGTTAAGATCTCTAACTGTAATGACTGATGATATTCTTTTTCTTCGACCCGGCGTCTCTCTTCAATTGACGCAGTCAATGCACGTTGCATTTCTTCAACTTGCTTCTTATACCTTCGACTCAATTCTTCTAAGTATTGCCCACTCAAGGACATGTTCCTTTCTAATGCCTAAAAGAAGGTAAAAAACAAGAATTGAAATTAAAATACAAAATTAAAAGAAAAAAATTTACCACAAAAAAATGAAAATAATGCATGATTAATAAATAGAATACCTAATATTAATAAACTTCAGGTTAAATAGCCAGGAACTTCATAGAAAAGACTGAAAGAAGACTGAAGAGAACAAAGAAGGGCAAAACTTCAATTTTCATGAACTTGACTGATCCATTCATTCAATCTTTGGTTTACGTGAGTTTATTCAATATACTATTTTACTCTCCACCTAGTGGCTAATACGTATGCTTTACATTTTCTGAAGAAATAGAAGATGCTATTGCACATGTGTCTACAGAACTTGTATCTAAGTACTTAAAAAATTCCTTATGAGAGTATCAAGTCATTTTATGTTTAATGGCGAAAGTATCTTTGGCTGGATTGATATTCAGGTGGATTAAAAATTTTGAGATTGACGAGAGAAGTAACTTTATTAAGGGGAAAAAAAGCAGATGAATTCCGTATAAAATCAGTCAAATTATATGTCATGACCCTATTCAGCTAAGGTGTCCTAAAAGGGTGAAAATCACGGTGTGTCATCATGATACTCACAAGTTGTAAAAATACTATCTACAGATCTGCTATGGAATTAATTACGCATCCTGGATGCAACGCAGAGGTAAAGCGTTGCAGAGATTTTTGGTACATATATTTCAGTTTTTGAACACAGTTCCTTTTTTTCACATGATTTTTTGACATGTATGAATATACATGAAGCCCTGGTACAAAAAAGCATGGAAGGAGAATATATTTATGTAGGGTACTTTGCATTTTTTCTATCTCATACACAAAATTAAAATACCTTAATGCGATTTGCAAGCCGCACAAAAACGGATTCTTTTTGAACAGGCGGCGGTTCTGAGGGTAGAGCTGAGGCTGATGCTTCTTCGGGCTCATCCAAGTCAGAGAAAAGTTTGTCATATGTCTCAGAATCAATTGATTCTATTGGTTCCTCCATTGTTTCAGCACTTCTATCTGTCGAGTTTGCAATGTTCTCTTCCATTTCCAATTCAGCTGAAAAATTAACATTGAATGAGTCTCCAAAGTGTAATAAATAAAGAACTGATTAAAAATGCAGTCTGATTTAAAAACTATGCCAATTCTCTCCGTCAGCTTAGGTCTTGAGTTGTGATGAGAACTTGAAATTTTGCGTCAGTAAAAATTTGAAGGAAAATATTCTCAACCAGGTAATCGTTTAAAGAACTGTTTAAACCAATCACCTATTTGAATTGGCTCATACAAAAATATCCCAAGCCCAATGCACTGTTTTAGGATATGCGTATTGTAACTTAACAACTCAAGCTGTTCTATGATATTAGTAATGCAGAATAATTTTACTTAAAGACTCACAAGTATAATACTTTAACAAGAAAACTGACTTTCTTAATGAGTGTTGTAGGGCACAAGAAACAACAACAATTCTGAAAATATGTTAGTAACATACGATTTCTCACAAGCAGATTCAACTCATGATTTATCTTATATATCTTATGATAATTAGTTTTTCCAGAACTTTTTTACATTCGAAACACATTATTCAATCGCAAAGATGAAAAAAATGGCAAACATAACATAAGATCCGTTCATACAATGTGGACGATAAATTCACCGACTTAAAGAAATTAGAAGATTTAGATAAATTAAAGATTTAATTAATTAGATGATTAGATGAAGAAGATGAGGATGTGTGATACGCTCTTTCAATGTTAAAATAAAATCAGCAATCTTCCTTTCTTTTTATTTTCTCTCTTTCAATACGTTCTGAGGCATTCTCACGTTTAATATTTTGATCTCTCAACAAAAATTCTATATTAACTATAATTGCAATAAGTGTTTTATGGATGGATTGAGACGAGGACTTTAAAACTTATGGAAAATTACCTGATGTTTTGGGCAGAGTAGAAGGATCAGACTGATTTTCTGCTTCACGAGGTTTTGAGACTATAACAGATGCTTCCATGGCCATTTCTTCCTTGCTTCCTGCATCAGATTTGTTTTGGCTGCTCAGTTCGACCTCATTGCTTTGAGTTTTTGTCGGTTTAATCTGCGCTACTAGTGATGGGTTTACTTCTGCTGTGCTTTGAAGTACATCCGGTTGAGCCTGAGGAAGTTCCGGTTGTACAATGGCACTGGATGACGCCTTTTGCGGTTCATCTACAGAACATGTAGATGCAAGTTCAGGCAGCATCACCTCCAACTCATCCTTCGTTGTGCAACCCTCTGGTTGTTGAGAGGCGATCACTTTAAGTACATATTCATCGCTAACATTTAAAACTACTTTCTTCTCTTTGACTGCGACAAAATTACAGGCAGCAGCTAGATAGTGGTTTGGTAACATAATAGATAGGTAGGAACTAATGTTTGATAGATAAGATTCTTTATCACGTAGCTCAAAATCGCTGATTCTGGATCTGAGAGAGGAAAAGTCTAACCCGTAGTCTTTGCAAACATCGCTGTAAGTTAGGGTATTGTAAATTAAGCTTGAACTGATGAGGTCATCCAGAGCTTTTCCGTTACAGCTGATCAAATTGTAGACTCTGTAAATACAGAAGAAAAATTAAAATTAAATTAGCAAAGCATAATGAGAAAAATTTAAATATATTAAGCTTCACAAGTAATAAAAGGTTTTACCAGTTTACAAATCCATGACTTCGTACAAAGAGACACTGTCACTGAAGTTGGCTTGTAAGATGTAGAAGCTCACATATGAAAGGGGTCCTGAGATACTAAAAATTATTTTATTCTCTTTTCTGTATTGTGAATTTAACAGACATAACTTTCATGTTTACCATACCACAAAAAAACCTATTCAGTGTGCGACAGATTGTAAGACTAGAAGGCATTGCCTCATCAGCACATTGGAAAAACGGTCTCTATGGACATCCTGAGTCACTGATGAAGCACTCTAATTGGCTCTATTTTTAACCTACCGATTATTACTTCAGTTACATCTAAAGTAAACATAAATAAATACCTAGTGAAACTTTTTTTATTATTTTGCTACATTTGTAAAGGCTTTGGGGACTTAGAAACACTTTTCCCTGTTTGATTTACACTTAAAAAAAGCCGTTTTTGTACTCAAAGCCTCAAATAAGAATGCCTTTAAATCTGCTGCTTTTCAAACTTCTTTCAGTCTCTAAGGAAGACTCTATTCGGTAGCATTTTATGGGGAAAAAATGACTTGGAGATAAGTGCCTGGATTGGTGAAGTTCATAGACATAGAGAACTGATATATTTTCAAAACTAAAATTGAGCGAATATAAAATTAAATAGGTTTTCATCCACAGAAATAAAACAGAACATTTCATTAACATAACATTTTGATACAAGTTCAGGTAGTATAGTTTTCAACTCATACTTTGCCCCTAAGGCTATCCACTGGAATAACAATGAGTGATATCAGTTGTTCATAAAATGTAAGCAAATCAATTTGGAGGATAAGTATGATAAAGAGCATATTTTACCTATTGAAAAGTTGCTCTGTGCAATTATCACAAACAATTATATGACTAGGCGTGGTGCAGGTGTGAGAAAATGGGCGAGGATGAGTCATATTCATCGGCAACCCTTCTCGATTTTGAGAGGTTGATCCAAGCGCTTGTGCTGCTTTCTTCACAATACTCATTACAGCATCACGAGCGGTGCCAAACAAATTTTTTGAGCCATTTTTCCCATCATTCTCTTCTGAGGGCTCTTCTGATGTTTTCTCACCATCTTCATCGTCATCATCATCAGCAATGGCGACGATTTGAGGTTCGTCCACAGTATCAAGAACCTAAAAACACACGAGATACAAAAAATATAAAAACAATTGTAAGAATGCTATGAAAGAACATTGTAACTACTGAGCAAACTAAGTCCACTACTAAGTAAGTTAATCCAAAACCTCAGATATACAATTTATACTACATAAGCAGCTCATTCTGATCAAGTTCTCTTACTTTTAAATTTCATCTAGTGAGGTAATATTGTATTAAAACATACATTCCGATTGAAAATCTTAGAAATAATTGGTCAAGAAAATCTACACTTGTAGCACAGCAGAAAAAATAATGTATCTCTTTGGCAAAGGTTCAAACATAGCATAGACAATCACCTTTCTTTTGAACTTTTTCCCAGGAGATCTCATTACATATTTATAATCTCACAAAAAGAAATTTTAAAAAAAATTCTTAATAATGAAAAGAAAAATAGTTAAAGTTTCGGAATGATGATGGGATTATATTTCTTATTGATGCCTATTTTAAGAAAGCCTTCAAAGAATAACTTACACCAACAGAAAACAAAACGTATTTATGCTATCTCTTTGTCTATTTAATTATACTGGACACAGCCATACACCCAATCGGGCCTACGTACAGAGAGTCAGTTTGAGCAAAACAAACCTCTTACTGCTTTGCAGCATTAGAATCCAATAAAAATAAAAAATACTAAAAAGGATCAAAATCGCTAGTAACTAAGAAACTCAAAATTTCCTTGCATGAATCATTTTCCGAAACAACATTGTCAAAATAGTCAATGTAAGTAAAGTTTGAGTTTTTTCATTTATAGTGATTCCGATCTTAAATTAATGTCCTTTCCTTCTTAATTACCCTTGTTTTCAGAATATTTTAAAAGTATATTATCCAAACCCTATATTTTGTAACCAAATTCTTTAGTGAATTTACACTTACCTCTATCTCACTGGTGCCATAAACACGAAAAAGAGAAATAGGACAGAAATGTTCTGCTCCGTAGTGAGAATGCAGCTCAACGCGAACATATTTCGCAAACTGAAAATGTTGCAAGTTGAAACTCTGCACGACCCTCTCATCTTTGGCAGTCAAGTGTCCAACCAGGGTCCAATCTCTTGTTGGAAAACGATCCGACACCGAAACGGAGAAGTTCTTGGGTGAAGATGAAAAAAGTTCAAAATTCGCTAGTTCAACCTAGAATCAGAACGTTGAGTTGAAATTTCATACATCAAAATCCAAGAATTTATTTTGGTGAAAATCAATGACTTTCAGTTTCTGCTTTAATAGGATGCTGTATTTGATGATCACTTGGGAAGCAATTCAAAGCATTATTGGGACTTATTTCAATTACATTAATTCTTGTGTCCTTTACGCTTAAGATATACGGATCAGTTCAATTTGAACCACTCAAATATCCATTGAGAAATATTATAAGAAAATGTCCTGGATTATGCTTTATCTTCAGGAAAAATGTAGCTTTCTCTGAAGGCAAATGTTATAATGACATAACAATATCTGTAAAAATACAGACTGAAAAGTGATACTAAATGTCTACAGTGTAAACTGAATTTTTTACACCCACTCACCCCATGTAACGCAATCGTAACGCTGGTCTAGACACCCTTAAAATAATTACGAGACATTCGCCCTTTCACAAAAAAACTCAAAAGAATCTAGCCAAAAAAAAGGGTGGGCATAACTCCAGTGGCGTGGCAGGCTTCGCGATATATCGATCGATCTGTCATTTAAACCTATAGAAATGGATGTAATGGATGGCTATTATGTAACACTGAGCTCCACACTCATCACTACTTGTCACGCTCCGTCACAAAAGTTTGAAGACCCTCCCTCCCCTCACAGCGTTAAGTAATTTATGAACAGCCCCAAAGCGAAAAAGAGCAGAAATGAAGGAACACTCTAGAGGAAATCGTGAGATTCTTCCTAAAATGATAAATATCGAACAAACCTTTTTGGCTTGGATGGCTTCGCATAGTTCAACAACAAACCAAATGCGACTGTTGCATGTATTGAGAAGGTATTCATCACGAGAAGGGGACAAAACAAGGCCTGGACTTTTCGCTTCAGGATTGGCAGCCACGACTTTTGCTCCACAGTCAGGTGATGCATAGTTCTTTGATCTCAACTTCCGAACACCCACGTTAGTTGCAGGTGGCAGGGTGCCATTTTCACCTGAAAATAGATTTAAATTGATTAGTCTCAATGGTGGCGATAGAAAAAAAAAACGATTAAAAGAAATAAAGTTCCATACAAAGCAGATAAGAATTCAATTTTAAATCAGGATATACACTGCTGAAGCTAAAAAATAAGGAGAGAAAGAAAAACCAGAACATTCGAAATTCCAAATTGGATCCTAGAATTTATTTCTCTCTCCAGAAAGTGGAGAAGGTGGCATGAAAAAAGAGAGAGTTTCTTCTCTCCAAAGATTTCTCTCTCTCTTAATGGCATTTTTGTTCGCGCCTGCAATATTTCCCCCCTTTCAGCAGAAAGGAACCAAGCTACATCAGCTATTTTATTATTTATTATTTATTATTTATTATTTATTGTTTATTATTTATTATTTATTATTTATTATTTATTATTTATTATTTATTATTTCTTATTTCTTATTTCTATTAATTTGAATGAGAATAATCAGTGCAGAATGTGCAAACATTTCAAAATTATGAGTTAAAAAACGCTGACTATGTGAGTATAAATATTAAAGCCTAACAGAGCGGAGCGGCGTGCTGCCAGCGCGAGCGGCTCACTGGCGCCTACAAACCTAAGTGGATACTTCACGTACTGCACAATGCTTGAAGTATCCACTTAGGTTTGTAGGCGCCGATGCGCGTTTCGCGCTGGCCGCCCGCCCGCCCGCCGTGCGGCGGCCGGCGCCTGAAGCAACTATTTCACAACAGAGGTGTTGCCCAGTATTCTACGAAATTGAGCGTATTAAGAATGACAGGCATCCTTTAAAAGTACAGATCTTTCCTCGCAAAACAAATCAAGATACTTATCGTACACTGGAAAAATCTAGGAGCCTTTGGCTGAGGCAAATATAGAGGTTTATCCGGTTCAGGTATAACAAGGTGGGAAAACCTTGAAAGTCCTGCAAAATGTCCTGAAACCAATATTCTACTTGTTCGAGGCTTCGCCCTCTAGTCTCAAAAGTATGATGCTCGAGGAAGCTCAAAGACAAAAATGCCCAAACATCGTAGGAATTACCTTTTTCTTAACAAATATTCTGGGTCATGGGTGAGAGGGGATCTGAAGAATCCAAACCTTTTGGTTTCAAGTAGTATAAAAATCCTGATTCATGCGAGTGCTTACATAGGGTTGCCATGATTTCTTTATCTTCAAGTTTCCTGGCTTTTCCCCGATTATTTTCCTTTTCCCTGACTCCAAAATTTTCTAATTAATTCCCTGACTTATTTCCTTGACTTTTGAACCAAATTTCGACTTTTTCTTTTAAAAAAAATATACTTTGGACAATATTTCCTTGTTTAGAGATCAAATTGAGGGAAAAGGCATTCAGTGGCTGGACAAAAGATGGTAAGCCTTAAAAGTGACCAGAAAGGGTGAACAGTTTGAGGATCAGTGATATGTTTCAGTTAAGAATAAAATCGCTAAAATGTAAAAACTCAATCTTTCCTTACTTAATTCTTTGTCGTCGATAGTGCGACTATCGCCGCACTGTGGCCGCTGAAGAGGGAGGGCAGCGGACCCTCGGGACCCTCCTAAACGTCGTCCGGACAAATAATTAAGTAGGGAAAGATTGAGTTTTTAAATTTTAGCGATTTTATTTTTAATTTAAATGTACTTTCCTTGTTGCTCAGCCTTATTTTCACTATCATATGTTTTAGTGATCAGTAGATATGTTAGAAATTTCCCCGACTTCAAGGAAAAAATTAAATCGCTGATTTAACAATTTAGTAGTTAAAAAGAGTGTCCGACATGTTTCAATGTAGATTTTACAATAAAAAAAAACTGCTAATTTAGCCACCCCCGTGGTTAAAGCTTTCCACTATTGTAAAATGTACATTTGTCGGACATTTTTTTTTACAATTTAATTGTTAAATCAGCGATCCAGTTTCCCGTGTTTCCCCGCGAATTCCCTGACTTTCCCTGATATTCCCGGTCTTCCGGACCGCCGCACAGTAGATCGAGTCAATTAGAGCGGTCGGACATGAAATTTTTTACTAAAACTGCAAATTTTGATGTTTATTTCGCCACATTCTACATTTTAAGGGGTGCTTCTAGAGGAGAATTTTACGACGAAACCATTGAAGCTACTTTTGGAACCTCAAATTTTGTATAAACGGAGTTATAAGCGCTTAAAGTTTCAGAATTCCGTCCGACCTCTCTCATTGACTAGATCCACTGTGCGCCGGCAACCCTGCTCACCGCATAAAAAATATACATACATATCAAGCCGTTAGCTCAGCGCACTAGAGCGCTCTGCGACTCCAAATCGCCATCGGAATCGATCCTCCCACAAATCATCGGGCAGATTACACCGTCTGATCTCCCCCTCCACTCCCTCCCGCCAACCTTTTACTGGACGTCCACGCCGCCTTCTTCCGGGAGGAACCCAATCAAATACCTTTCTGGGCAACCGACTATCTGCCATTCTCCGCACGTGTCCATACCAAACCAGCTGCCTGGTTTTGATATCGTGCACAATATCTTTCTCAACTCCCATAAAAAATAAAATATAATTCCAAAAAATATTATTTCCGATAAGGCGGAGACATACCCTTCTTCTTTTCAGCCTCGGCCAACTGCTTCTGGGCCCACTCGTTGAAGGACGGGATGTCCTCGTGGGACTGGGCCGCGGCGGGCTCCACCTGCGGGACGATGATGACGTTGTCGTGGTCCCCGGCGGGCGGGGCCGGCGGCGAGGGCTTGTCGGGGACGGGCGGAGCGACCCCAGGGCCGGTGTCGTTCTTCTCGGGCTCCGGCTCGGGGACCTCGGGGACGGCATGTTTGCTGACGACTTTGGGCTCGGCACGGACGACGTACACCGGACGCTGTACGGGGTGGCCCTGGTGGTCCTGCGAGCCGTTCGACGTCGGCCCGCTCAGCGGCGTCCCGTTGAAGAGGGAGGCGTTCTGCAGCGGGATCCTCAGGGTCGGCGCCACGATGTTCGCATGCTTCTGCAGCTCCGCGGTCGTCGAGTCCACCAACGTGAAGACTACTCCTGCTTCGCCGGTCTCCGTTATCCTGCAACATTCGAAATAATACGTGAATTAAAGTTTAAAGTAATAAAATGGATAAAGGGACAGGAAAGTGAGGTCTGGCACGATCGAAAGGCCACCGGGAATACAATAACACTGCCGTGATAGCGAAGAGAGCCGTAAGTGCAAAAATGAAGTTTTGAGAAAACGGGCTCAGAAGCTTCTGACAAGATCATTTTATTGAAAGAAGCCTCCGTTCTTTGTCAAATTGCCACTAATCGTCCGGAAGACTCCTGGAAATCGTATGGATGATTCAAAATCGACTGATTTTATTTCCATTACATAAAAAGGGTATTTTTCATTTTCATGCTAGGTTATTGCTAGGCAAGACAGCCGTAAGTGCTATCTTCTGCACGCTTTCGTGGTTGCGTTTTGGACGCACAACAAACACATTTGCAGGTTAGAAATTGGCAGAAGAGGGCGGCACTTTACTGGAAAGCACTGTTTTCATTGGCTCTCATGCATCTACGGCTGTCTTGAAAAAAACTGTGTCATTTTTTGTGCACTTACGGCTTTTACATACGTCTCGTTTTCATTAAATTAGGATGAATTTTGCTGTTTTAGCTGTGTCAGTAATTTCATCTAAAAGAGTTTAGACGAATTTTGAAGAAAACTCGATTTCGAAAATTTTGCACTTACGGCTCTCTTCGCTATCACGGCAGAACATTAATCAAATCGTATTTAGTTGGGTTATCGACCTGGATGCAACTATTCGTGCTCGAAGGACATCCGTATTGCATACATGAAAATTGAAGGCGCTCCGCTGCGCTGCGCCTTTATCCCTAACTCCGAAGTCGCAGTAGTAATATCCGCGCTCATTTGGAATCGCAATCGAAACACGTGGTGGAACACGGAGGAACGTGTGTGAAAAACGCATATCGACGGTGTAGGTCCGCAAACCTGTATCTCGGTTTGCGATGTCCCAGACTTCCAGTCGAACGAACTTTTTTAAACGGAAAGCTACTCAACGGCAATTCTTTAAAACCGCCGTGATTTTTCTTCTCTGTGCAAAGAAAATTCTGCAAAAACTTCAAGGAATGATGTCAATTTGTCCTCCTTTAAAAAAATAATACAGACGCGGGGATTTTCAAACACCGCAAACGAGATACATGGTTGCGGACTTACGCCGTCCATATTCGATATTAACCCTAAACTTTAGGGGTGATTGACAGATGGTAAGGGCGAATCACTCTTGAGGAATCTTTCGATTCTACGCTGTGATCTGAAGTAGACGAGAGGCTTTTAAAAAATTCATACTTCCAATGACACGGCCGAGAACAATTACGGTAGCCTCGACAGATGTGACCTCGCTGAATAATTGAGAGAAAAGAGTAGGGCGCACCAAAAAAGGGCTCAGATCGATACTATTATTTGGCATTTCGAACCTCAGCCTAGATAAGCTCACGTTGGAGGATAAGAGGAGGGTATAGGAACGTCCTATTTTCTCGTGGCCGTGTTAAGACGTATATAGGATAAACTTACTTCAGTGTTCGAGTACCCTCGGGATTCAAAAATCTTTTACCTTTCGTGGCTTTTCTCTGGGATTTTATTTGTTAAAAGTACGATTCAACCTTACTACAACCTAAATTTCTCAAATTGCCACTTTTTTTTTTTTTTTTTTTTTTTTTTTTGATGATATATTTTTTAAACAGAAAATTAAGCGACGAAGAGACTTGAAATGTTCCGGTTAAATCCGTCTAATAGTTATAATAAATAGCTGTCGATTTGTAAATGGCCCACGTATCTCCATTGCGGTGTCTCAAAATCTCTGCTTCTTTATAATCATTTCGATGAGAGAAAACCCTACTTTACGGCTTGAAAATACAGAATATTCTGCTTACACATGGAGGAAAAATCGATGAATTGTTAAAAAAATTATGTTGAATAGTTTTCCACAGAAAAAATTGAGTATTATAAGAAGTCTGCAACGTCGCAAGAGAAGATATGTGGTTTCGTACTTTAGCCATTGATATACTCAAATGTTTTAAAAGTATCAGACTAGGTCAAAGGTTAAAATAAAATTTAAAAACTCACCAGCCAGAGAAAATTCAAAATTTTTGAATTTTCTCTGACTGGTGAGTTTTTAAATTTTATTTTAACATTGATGTACTGTCTTAATGTGTTTAATTCTTGACATTCACAGGTTTTCATCTGATTTATTAAGAAATTGTCACCCAGTGCTTCCATGCTCGCATTGAAACCGCAGAGAATATTACAAACTCTGTGGTTCAAGGTGATGACGTCAACGTCGCGTCGTTCCTGCTTTTGACGTGACGTGGCGTGGGATAAAAAATCTGATATGATTTCAGCAGAGATTTTCAATCTTCATAAAAGCAAAAACGTGCGAAATATTCTGTCATAGACACGACTCTGATAAAAACTGGCGAAAAATATTGTTTTATTCCTTTCGCATATTTTTAATCTTGAAAAACATGAGTTAAAACGTCACGCATAATTTTTTGGGCTTGAAAATGAGTGGGTTACTATATAGAAAATGCGAGATTGCATCAATGTGTTTTTGACGTTGATACATTGCATTGTTTGTACATAGTTGCCATCTCCAAAAAAAAATAGTGAAATGGTGCATCATTGGTTTCAGATATGGACACTGACTATGAACGAGATATCAATGGTCAAAGTGCGAGACTACAAGTATCCATTGCGGTGTTTCAAAATTTTCGCTCTTTTTTTATTTTCACGGGGAAAAAAAAGCCAACTTTGTGGCTGGAAAATGCGTAATATTCTCCTAACAAAGAAGAAAAATCAAAAAAGTTTTCAATAAGTTACAAAAAATAGAGAATTAAAAGAAATTAGAAAAAATGAAGAATGACAGGAGGTCTGCAACGACGCAAAAGGAGTTGCGTGGTTTCACACTTTGGCGATCAGTGTGTCGAGATTTTTCAAGACGACAAAACATTGCGATTTAAAGCAGGGAAGGGAATGGCAATGGGTCTGGATGAAAAAATTAACTGTACACAGACATGCGTAGCGCAGTGGATCGAGTCAATGAGAGAGGTCGGACAAAATTTGATAAATTTACAAGTTTATAACTCCGTTTAGACAAAACATTGAGGTTTAGAAAATTATTCCACTGGAATCCTGTCGGGGTTGCCACAAAATGAAGAAAATTAAATTCCCTGACATTTTCCTGTCACATTTTGGTAAAATTCCCTGACAATTGATGATATGCCAGATTGTTTAAAATACATAAAAAAGAGATAAAATTTTGCGTACTCACTTGCGCTTTTTAACAACTTTATGGTTAACCACAACCAGAACCATAAAATTGTCAAATAGCGCAAGTGAGTACGCGAAATTTTACCTCTTTTTTACAATATTGTCTTGTGACTGTCCCCTACAAAAGTTTCTGAAAAGATAAAATTTCAGATAGTTCTTACGCAAAATCTATTGTATGAAACGTCTCGCCTAGTCTAGAAAGTAAATAAAGGTGACTTGACAATTTTTCCCTGACATTTTCGACATTTTTATCATTTTCCTCGACAATTCCAGGTTTTCCCTGGCTTTTAAAATTCCCTGACATTTCCCGGTTTTCCCAGTATTCCCCGACTGCGACAACCGTGCGTGAAATTTTTTTCTCAAATTTCAAATGTGACAAAATAAACAGCAAAATTCGCCGTTTCCGTCAAAAATTTCATGACCGGCCTGGTAGATCGCCTCGATCCACTGTGCGTAGCGGTGAGATCGATGAATCAAAATGAGCCAAGCTTAAAAACTAGGACAGGAATGAGTGAGACAATACGAGGTGGCACCCGGACGACTTAAATTTATGAGGAATGAGGAAATATGATAATTTTCCGATTGGAAACAGCCGGGGCAGCAAGCATGTCGCATTATACCTGCTCGGTCAACCGCACTCCTCAATGAATGCTTGTCAACTTCCAGAATGATCTTGAGAGAGGTTGTAGACACAATGCATTATCACTATTGCCGGTTCTTTAAGGGGAGTCCATGCCCAATAAAGATGGATTTTGAGGGAAAATCAACCGATTTCGAAAGGCATCAACGAACAAAGGCGTCGTTTAAATGGCTGCCGTCTCAAATAAGTTTTAACAGGAAATTAGGTTCGATTTCTGTAGGGAATTCGCATTCTTCAGGGAGACAATTTTTCTTGGATTCCTGCAGTAGTCTCTGAGTATTCAGAGGTTTTGCACTTAGAATTTCCTGATTTTATTCATATTTTCTTGAACGCCATGATTTTTCAAAAAAAAAAATTCACAAAAAAAAATTTCAGCGTAAATTCTCTGGAAACGGATTAAATTCCATGTCTTGGCTGAAAGGAAATCCCGAGCTTTCACAGTGAAATTCGCCGAGAAGAATTCCTTGACTTTCCAGGGTTGCGGAAAAATTTCCCAACTTTTACAAGCTTCCCCCGCCTCTCCAAAAACCTGTCACCCTAATCTTGGCGGATCCAGCAAATTGGCAACGTTGTCTTTTCTCGATTTAAACCTATAGAAATGTATCGATTCTTGGATGGGCCAGATGCTCCGACAAGAATCGATTATTTAGCATAGGTTTAAACGGAGGAAAACAGGCGTTGCCAGATTGCTGGATCCGCCTCTGATCCACATCCACAGAAAAGTCTCGGTTCGAGGGGGTCTTACCTTAAGTAGAACGAAAGTACAGCGAAGAAGAGAGTGGTGGTGAAAACGAACATTGGCTTGGGCTGAAAACTACAGGGATTCGAGTAGAGCTGCCACCAGATCACCATTAGTCCAGCACCGGGGTCAGCTGCCGCGTTTATCGTTTTCGCAGAGTCGACGGATTGATTCTATTTCGATGTATCGATTTTATTTCGATGTATCGATGACGGGTCGTTCGTCGAAGTGTTCGATCGAGACAGTTCGATTGTAGCGGCGACAAGATGTGGGCCGACGGCGGCCGTTCACACTCGCACTGATGAGGGTCGCGCGGGTCAAGTTCGATTCGATAATTATAGCGGGGCGCATGTCGGTCGCATTGTTCGTCGGGAGCATTTGACCCGCTTGCCCGTTCTTCGGTGATTCTTCCGGAAGCCCCGATCGCTCGACACCTCTCAAAGCTTTTCCATCGCACTAGTCAACGCTTTTTATCAACACTTTTCGACGTTTTTTGTTTATTGATCACTTAAAAAATTTACACAACCTGAAAAGTTCAAAAAATTAACAAGTTGGATTTTGCAATCGCTAGCGATAGCAATATTCGTCATGGGAACGTTAGCTTCTGAGATATGAAAATGTTAAGGTACAGTTCGTTTGTAGTATCTTCTGAATTGAAGGGGCTATGTAATTTTGTGTTGACATCTCTTTTTTAACATTTTTAATTATTTTCTTTGCATACAAGAAAGCTGTTATGTACCAATTATTTATTTTCGTTGGATTATATATATGGTTTTCGGAAGTTAACGCATTTAAGTTTCAGGTTCGCTTAAAGTTCGCGTAAAGTATACATAAGGCGTCCCAAAAGCACCGGGACTTGTTCTGTAACTTCGAAAGTAAGATAGACACAGACATGATCTTGATCTCATTTTAAAGATCAACTCAATACCTATCGATTAAAACCAAGATCAGCTCAATCGGATTAAAATTGACCGAGTTATGGCAATTTGAAATCAGCGAGGAAAGTTTACGCCTACGATTTTTAAGGAAGATTCTTCATCGCCGTAACTCGAAAAGTCGGCCGATAAAGTGATGCTTATTAGTGTATTTTCCGAAGGAAATACACTATTGCGTTTTGTGTTTTTTTATTTTAGAGGTGTCATTTATCAACATTTTGTACCATCAAACACAACAGTTGACAGTGCGTATTATTGCAAAGTACTAAAGGAGTTGAGAATGCACATTTCCTGGAACCGGTCGGACTTGAAAGCTTCGTGGATACTCCATCAAAACAATGCGCGGCCTCACACATCGAGCTTAACACGTGAATTCATGAGTAAAAATGGAGTTGAAACAATCCCTCATCCCCCTTATAGCGCTGACTTGGCTCCATGTGATTTTTGGATGTTTCCCACGCTTAAAAAGGAGCTTCGCGGGCGAAGATTCGTATCGAAGACCGAAATCCAGAATGCAATTCAAAACTTCTTCAACTCCATCCCAGAGGAAGAATTCAGGAAAACAATGTTGGATAAGTGGCAAGAGCGCATGAAAAAGTGCATCCGGTTTGATGGACGGTACTTTGAGAAGCAAAAGGAAGTTATGGAAGATTCGGAGGAAAGTGGATACGAATATTAACTTTTTAAATCCTGGTAAGCGAAAAATCTTCCTAAAAACCATAGGGGTAAACTTTCCTCACTAATTTCAAATTGTCATAACTCGGTCAATTTTTACTCGATTGAGCTGATCTTGGTTTTAATCGATAGGTATTGAGTTGATCTTTAAAATGAGACCAAAATCATGTCTGTATCTATCTTACTTTTGAAGTTACAGAACCGGTCCCGGTACTTTTGGGACACCCTACGTATGATATTTTTACTCTACACATATGCCCGAATACGCATCATAAGGGACCTATGTGCTTCCTAAGTTGCCAAGTATTAATTATTGTTAGATGATTGGTCTAAAACATTCAATACAACCAGTAAAAATTAACTGTCCCCTGCGAGATTCGAACCCCCGCTCGCAAAAAAAGTGTCACTCTCCCAGAGGCAAAACAGCATCGCAGCCCGTTGAGCTATCTCGCCGCTCGAATACGAGTGATGAAAAAGAGAACAGTTAAGTGATCTCGGACGCTGAGCGGGGCTTCACAAAAGACGTCCTTGAGATTTCAACGGTTCGGCCACTGGCGTGATAAGACACAACGGATCAACCGCATTATTCTGTGAGACATTGTTTACCTATGCTGTCATGTGTCACGAGGTTCATATCAGGATGCATTTGCGATCGCGGCAGTAAGCTGAGGCAATATTTCTGTATTCATGGATTAAATCCATCAATCGAGTTCTGATTTTGGCTCATATATCCGTAACGGGTCCTCCAGAGCAATTTTCCACCTTGTACGATGGTTATTATTTCTTTATATCTATGTTTAAAATTTGAGGTGGGATAATGGCGGCTTCTCAAGAGCAACGAGGTAGGCGATCTTTTGCACCAACGAACAGAAAACTGATGGCGAAAAATAACCAATCAGAACCTCCCAAAAAAAAGAATTTGCCTAAAAACGGAACTTCGTGGATCTGCGCAGATTTACCAGTCAGACACGACATCTCGAGGTGGAAAAAAACTCGCTGAAAGCGAATTTTAGCAATCAACACAACTTGACGTAGAGACATGATTGGCTAAAAAATACAACGGTTTTTGATACATCGGAAAATCAACCAAAAATCGGAGACTGGGCGAAACGCTCAAGGTCGCAGAGGTATAGGGAATCCCATTGCGAAAGCAACGGAACGATTGTAATATCATGGGGAACTCCGTTCCCATGACAATAATAACTTTCTGGGACGTTACACTGGAAAAAAACTCCGGCCGTGGAAGCCGTACCTACGGGCTATATAGACATTCCGTCCGCGTTCCGGGCTCAGAGGCCGAATGTTCCGGGCATAGCACCTGGAAATTTCGGCCTCTGAGCATGGAACGGACGGAATTTCTATAGAGCCCGTAACTTTTTTGTTTCAGTGCATTCGGAGAAGACAGGGAAGGAAATCACAGCTGCCACCCTCCGCATCGTAACCTTAACTTTTGGGATAAGATACGTGATGCTAAATTTCGGAATTTTCGAGTTTCGACCCCACTATACCCTGGAACGTTACGCATTTTATGGACGACCCGGTCTTCTGAGGGTCAGTTCCGGTGAAAGTTGAGCTAGTTTGGGGAAATTTGGAAGATTTTTTTAAATTTTACCCCTCCAGCAAATTTTGCCGTTTCCGAACAACGTTTGCCCCCTCCCCTCCTAATAGGAAAAATGACGCATCTGGTAATGTCACAACGTTTGAGGATTAAGGTTTCCTGGAAAGTTCAGTGCCGGGAGCGGAGATTCCTTGGGAAAATTTCCCACAATATTATGAGGACTGAAGTTCCTTGGAAAGTTCCAAAGTATATTTCTGGGAACGAGAATTCCTGAGAAATTACAGGGATTATTTCTAGGGAAGAAGAGAGTGATTGCTGTTTGTGCTGGTGTGTGTGATGTTCAGCTATCAAAGTTTCTGAGTGAGATAAATTTCAGCCGGGAGTTCTTGATAACTTTCCCAAAAATTCCACTTCCTGAAGATGGGAAAGTTCTCACTTCGATCCCGAACTTAATATAGTTCAATATAATATTTATGAAATCGCGCCGGACACGATTGGTCTGTTGGTGATACAGAGGCGCAGAAAGGCGACAAATTTGAAAATTTTTAGACCTATGAGTGCCTAATCTCAAACTCTGAGTATTTTCTATCTGATTCGCTTAAAATCACACAGATCCTGAAAACTTTTTCCTTGAATGAAACACATTAAACCTATTTTTACAGATTAGGCTACATAAAGAGTATCAAGGCAGTGATCCCACTGGAATCAAGTATTAATATCGAGACATTGGCGATTGAAATCACGACTCGTTGTCATGTCATAGTTACGTTAGCAAGCGTAGTTAGCAAGCACAATTAAGTGAGTGGAGAAAAGATGGAGAGAAACGACTGAAGAATTAACACGTTCAGCAGACGAACTCTGGTTCTTTTCGAGCTTGAGGTATATTACTTTACCGGCTGGCAAAATTCGGTGTTCTTTGGATTAAAATCTATTTGTGAGGTTTCCGCTTATTGCAGACAAACGGCTTACTGAATTTTCATCATGCCAGAGTAAAGAACGCGGAGTGAAAACTTGTGAGGACCGACAAGTCGTGAATTAGCTCCAAAAACTGTATAAGCCGCATGAAAATGTCACACAGTACATCAGCGTATAGGAGCGATTTGCCTTCAACGATTGATCCAAATTTATCTGATCTACGATTTATCACCTACAATCTGCGGTGAGACGTTTCTTAATTATTACCGTATGAGGACGTCATAATTCATATTCATGGAACCATTAAAGGATGCCAGGATCGAATTCATCTTCAGCTAATCAACAAATGAAAAAAATTGATACAACACATTCTCTCTTTAACTCAACTGAGAGGAGACAGAGAAAATAGAAAGGTGAGTACTTCTGTGCTGAGAGCTTGCTATCTATCACATGAGCTGGTCATAAAATATATAAGAGGACAAGACAATTAATTTGACGAGTAGAGCGAAGATCTTACACGTGGACTGACACCTACTTGACTTATCTTTAAAAGGCTTACTGGGAAAATTTCAGAATGTGACGCCATCAGTAAGCCTTTTGGTATCTAGTCAAAAACTTTCGAAAAACACTTAATCGATATCACGTCAGAAATGCCAGACATCATGTGTAACTACAGATACTATCCATCATGAACAATTATAAATTTTGACAAAAACAGAAACTTGAACTTGACACCTAACACAATATGTGACTGCCCACGGGAAAATGGACCTTAGCTCCAAGTACTCAAAATCGAATAATTGATATCACAGCGAAGAAGAGTGTTCTACAGACATTTTGGATCGAAAAACATACTGAACTATCATACTTAATCGGATTCATAGATTTTGAAGTCTCCGCATAAAGGCGCGTGAACTTTCAAGAAAAAGTTAAAGTAAAGTCCTACTGAGAGTAAGAAATTGACGGATTATGCAACTTTATGCAAATTGTTCTTCATATTACTTTAAAATCCCAAAGTCGGACTTTTCAACCCAACTTGACGAAATGTTTCATTCAAAATTTTGCTTCCACGGACTATCATGGGTGAAGGTACGACGAAGCAGCATTCGCCGCGACTGAAAAGTTCAAGATACCAGAATGGAAAACAAAAAATGAATTTTTCCACAAATATTGATAGGACATTGAGTTATGCGCAGTAAGATAAATAATATGAAGTACGATGGAAAAAAGGGAAATTAGAGCAGGAAAAAACTCGACGCGTAAACACAGTGACAAGGACTATCACGCGTTGTGATTAACTTACGGAACGAAATGGATTATCAACAGATGTATTTCGATGGATGCGTCCAAATGCAAGTAACACAAGTGCGTACCATCTTTTCCAAACAAAATTACGCCAACATCCATTTCGAAAGTAAAAAGCACAAGATAACGAGATTAAAA